AGGGCAATCGAACTACGCCAGGAAAGATTTACTTTAACTTACTTATTCGATGAAACGATGATAGAGGCTCCGAATATCGTTCCTCGCGTCTATACTTCTTTCGTGTGTTCCTGACTCTGGTACTGATCCTTGAATTGGTTTTCTCTTGCTAACGATAGCTGAGGAATAATAGGGCTAAGCGATGCTTGGTATTCCGCACACTTTTCTTCTCTTTTACGAATTGATTTATTTAGTATAAAATCGGTGATGGAAATTTACAATAAATAATAATATAAGTCTTAATATAAGTCTTAAGTATTGTAACTGCTAATTGTAAAGAACTGTGCTTAGCGACTGACTCCAACAAAATTATCTTAACGGCTAACTGTGATGAATTTATCTAGACGACTGTGGATGATGATGTCCTGACGATGAAGTGTTGACGATTAAGTTTTTTCTACTGCGTCCTCGCCTGCACATACCTCTCCTACACACACATACTTGCAAGAATCATTCTCGCGCATTTTACTATCGTCAATTTCCAAGCGATAAGCCATTTCGTTACACTGTTTCTGCATATATTAGGGTATCCCATAAGTTTGTTTCTTTTTTCTAATATGAAATGAATATACAATGTTTACTGTTTAAGTTATTATTTATTTTGTTATATAAGAACCCTTTTGCTCTATTACCTTTTTCCATCTCTCAGGAAGCCTCATTATGCCTTCTTTCCGAAATTGTTGTGTTTTGGACAAGAGATAATCCCGGTGGTGCACTTTTTCGCTGACTGGATTTAAAATGCTTATCGCGAAGAGAATTTTTTGAGGACAGAAAGAAGTAATAATCAGATGGAGCGAAATTATTGAGAGTATGCAGATGCGGTAAAACATCCCAATCAAATTGTAAGAGCTTTTCTCTTACCGCTAATGCAATATGTGGTCTCACGTTGTCATAATGAAAAATAATGCCTCGTCGGTTCATTTATTATGGCTATTTCTTGTTATAGCAGCTTTCAATTGATTCAGTTGATCGTAGAATTTATTGTTTCACCTTGAGGAAGGAGCTCGTAGAAAATTACACCTTTCCAATCTCACCAAATGGATAAAAGAACTTTTTTGGGCTGTAATCCCTGCTTTGCGACAGTAGAAGTTGTATTGTCCTTAAACCAAGTGCGTTTTCTATGGACATTTTCATATAAAATCGAAGTTTTGTCTCCAGCGACAAACCTCTTTAGAAACGGATCTTCTTCATGTCGCTGGAGAAGCAAGTCGCATGTAGAGTTGCGATTCATAAGACTAGTTTTCATTAGTAAGTGCGGAACTCAAAATTCGCAGAGATTAGCATATCCCATCTTAGTTAAGTGATTATGTACTGTTGTTTTGAGAATCCTAGTGGCGTTCACTATCTCGCGCATACTATATCGCGGATTTTCATCAAGCATGGCCTTGATAAGGCCCGTATCCATCGTCTTTGGGCGGCCGTTGCGGTCTTCATCTTCCAGATTAAAATTTCCCCCTTTAAATTTTTTAAACCAATTACAAACGTTTGTAATAATTATAGCACCATCTCCGTATATGATATAAATCTCTTCGACAGTATTCTTTATACTATCACCTTTTTTGAAACAATGAAACATAAGATGACGTAAATGTCGTCTCTCTCTATCCATGTTTAACACTGTGGATGAAAGTTTGAAAAGAGACTGTGGCGCAAACGAAACGTACTATAAAATAGCTTTGGGACGACTGAAACCGATGACATAGACGGATAATGAGAAACTTTTGGGACACCTAATACTTCCTTGGTCAGCTTTATCTCTGCACGCGTGGCTCTTGGGAGTGCTCCGTTGCCAAGGGTGAAAGAGGTATGACGCATCTGCATTCCTGCACATACTTTTTGTCCTTCTTTGTCTTCTCGTATTTCTTTACTACGTGTCTTATAGATAGTTCTAAATTACTTATCAACTACAAGCTGCCGATGGTTATTCTTATGGGAAAGATAGAGGAGAAACAATTGAAAAAATGATATCTCTCCATATGCACACGTATTCGTGCCTATAAGGGTTTCTCTTCTTTTAGGTGTCCTTTATAGTTTCTGGTTGACTAATGCACGAAGACATGACACTATCAACGTTATATTAATAGTATTATCTACTAATGGGTTGTTCGGAAAGTAATTTCGTTTTTTTTTTTGTGAAAATAAAAGACAATTTTCGTATAATGAACAAATATTTTATTAAATTATATATTGGCCATTCTGATCCAATATCTTTGCCATCTTTCTGGTAGTAGTATGATAAATTTGAATCCCATTATACCAGATCTCATAATCCTAATAGAAGATATCTACATCCTGATCTAACTCTCAGGAAAATGTTCGATTTATACAAGCTTCATTGCGAGGAAAATAAAATAAATGCCGTTAATGAGCGAACTTACAGAAAAATATTTATAAAAGATTTTGATTTACATTTCCACCAATCGCGTAAAGATACATGTCAAAAATGCGACTTATTAAACATCAAAATTAAAGCCTCAAATGATGATGAAGAAAAGAATAAACTTACAGAAGAACACGAAGTCCATTTAAAACTAGCAGAATCAGCTAGGAATTCACTAAAACAAGATCAAGGGCAAGTATCACGTAATTCAGATTATTATTTCGCTTTCTCGTTCGACTTGCAAAAAGCATTACCGTATTCCAAGTTGACTACCACAGTAGCATATTACAAACGCAATATGTATGTTCTAAATTTGGATTATTAACAATTTTCATAACGATAATGTTTACATGTACGTTTGGGATGAAACTATTGCATCCAGAGGTGCTCAAGAAATTGTTTCATGCATCCTAAAACATATTAAAAATTTAAGAAATGAAAGACAAATTATAGCGTACAGTGACATGTGCGCCGGGCAAAAGGAACATTAAAGTAGCTTTAATGTGGTAAAAACTTTGAAAAATAATGTGGAAATCATAGACCACAAATTTTTAATATCAGGACATTCGTTTTTACCAAATGATAAAGATTTTGGCGTGATAGAAATGTCATTAAAAAAAAATAATTTACTGTTCGTTCCCGAAGATTATTACAAGGTTATTAAAAAGTGTCGGAAAGGTAATAACTTTATTGTAAATGAAATGAAAAAAGAAGATTTTGTATGAACAAAATTATTAGAAGACGCAATTTTTAAAAGAGTAAAGAATTCTGATGGAGAATCAATAAACTGGTTAAAAATATGTTGGATGCGTTTTGTCAGAAATAAACCGTATAAAATTTTCTATAAGACATCAATGAATGAAAATGAAAATTTTAAAGTCCTGAATTTGTTACCACGTCGGGGTAGACCAAGAAAGTTCGAAAATATTGTATTGACACCACTGTATAAAAATATCAGACAAATTACAACAGCAAAATTCAAGGACATGATTGACCTATTACGATGTATATTACCGGAACATCATGATTTCTTCAAATCCCTTTCACACACACAAAATCTAGATGAGTAGTAAATTGTTCTGTAATAAATTTATATTTGTAATTTTGTACGTTATGTAGTTAAAAAATGTTTTGAATCGCATAAATTTTGTTTTCAAAGTGTTCTAAAGATATGTAAAATAAATTAAGTATTATTGTTTTCAATTTGAAGCATCTTAAATTATGTTGAATGGACTTGGGCACTTTTAAATTTTATAATGAATCTGATTGTTAATTTTGAAAGTTGTCTAATTTCACTCTTGATAAGAAAACGGATATTATTCACTTAATAATTGCCACTATTTTAATAGGAACTATAAATTTAACACCCTTAGATATACTTAAGTAGTATGACTCATTAGTATCCTATACGTATATTTTTTAATTCATTGAAACGCAAACCCTTAAATATCTCGATTTGAAGATAAATGGAGTTAGGTCACTTTGAAAATAAAAATCTTCTGTCGGGACAAAACGAAATTACTTTTCGAATAACTCAATATATTCAGGAAACTTGTCACATGTTGTTACAGTCATACACATACAGTACAGACATAACGCGTCAGCTACTGTAACTATTAAAATAATGAATTTTGCTTTAAAATATCATTCTAATAGTAATGTTATAGTTTAAAGGTTAATTAGTTTCCTTATTAAAAATTTATAACATTCCACTGGCAGTATGCAACTGAAAAAATTTATTTCACCACAATAAAATTTTGGCTTCCACTGATTTTATCAATAATTAAACACTTGTTTCAAATTTCGATTCTATCATTTGTTCAAAATATTTGTTTTAAATTGATAAATAAATTGTTTGGAATTGATAAATGTTAACTCAGTCATTTTGTATACTCCTCAAACTTCCAGCTTCCCTCCACCAAAATATAACTAAATTTAGTTATATTTGTATAATTATACAGATTTGTCAAAGAAAAAAATTGTAGTAAAAATATATTGCTTCTTAATGCTTAAAAGTCATATATGATCTTAAAATGTGAAAGAAAAATTATTCGTTACACCGTAAGTTAATATACAACGATGGATAATGATACCTACAGTTTGTTATTTGTTATAATTATCTTTTAATTTTTCCGTCAATTTGAAATATTTTCATATAAAGTTTAAAAATGAAATGTTACGATTGAGTTCACTATATTTGTTTATTTTTCGACTATTTAAAAAATTCGATAGAGTCAGTACGTGCAGAATTGGAATATACTTTTAGGGAAGGAAACCGAGTTTAGTTGATAAAAATAGAAGAAAACACTGCCTCTTAATTCTATTTCGCAAAGCAGTCACACGTACTTTATCTACTGTTAGCGGTTGAATGTCCTACATACGTTCATTTCTATCATAAATACTTCTCTATCAAAATCAAAACAGACTTCGATTTAGATTGTGGCGCCTGAATACTTAATTATGCTATTTCTTATTCATGGAATGTTAAACCAAATTTTTTCTTACTATATTATTCACTTTGGTAAGTGTTGAGGACAAAAAACTGATTAAGTAATCTGCCGTTCGATAAAATGCTAATTAGATCGTGTGACGATAGTGACGTAGATCATGAATACGACAGATCGTATACAAATGAGACGGCGAGTGATGAATTAAACATAAAATCGTTGTAACTTCGGATCCAAAAAAATTAGTTCATCATCCTTTCCTCTTAAACTTGTGTTGGTTATATCTCTTTCATTCGTACATAATAATCGTTTTGTCATTGCAGATTGTTATGATTTTGAAAATCATAACTGAAATCACCTATAGTAAATATTACCAATAGTTTGTTTTCTTTTAAATGTGTGGAAGAAGAAATTAAATCCTATTAAATTTGATAAATTTTCAGTTTTGATCTCTATCGAATAATGCTCCCCAATTTTGTATGTAACATTTGCTCTTCTACATCTCTTTGTTTTTATTTTTCTCTTTACTCTTGAAATCGCAAAATATTCATGTTCATTCGTAAACTGTACATTCTGTACATAACTGTACGTAAACTGTAGACTTCGCATTTTCAAGTTGAAGTTATTGATAAAATTCGTACGAGTAGAAAAACAAGCTTATGTAACTTTGTGCGATATAGATGTATACAATAGGTTTAGTTGTAGGTATTGTAGAATTAAGAAAATATTCATGTATATATGTACGAGTGTCGAAAAAGTGCTGGGAATGATGTTAGTAAGATAGAGATGTAGACCTGATGTAGATATGGTAAAAGATAGACATGTAGATATGAGTGTTACGAACGATTTATAAGCGAGAGTATATAAGCGATGGAGTGGTGACGTGTGAAGATTAAGTGACGTTTAGGACTTTGTCTAAACACATAGTTCATAGATCCGTATCCTAAAAGATATACGATAATGAGAAGAAAACAATAATGGGCGAACGAAAGAAAGAAACGATAATTAGTATAAAGAATTAGGCATTAGTGCGGAGAGATTAGAATAGTACAGAGTAGATCAAAATAGAGAATAGAGTAATATACACTGAAAAGTATAAAAGAAAAGAGCAAAGGAGAACAAAATAGTTAAGTTTTATCGAGTATCCAAGAGAATAGAGAATCTATTTATATCTTTTATTTAAATAAAAGAATTTGTTGTTTTTTTGGCTAAAGCTCATTATCCTACGGTATATAAATATCGCTTTTAGAATGAATATTTATCATTGACAAACTACGACAAGACATATAAATATCATTTAGATAAGAAACCATTTAGCTTGCAATGTAGGACCCATTTTTACATTTCGAATTAGGGGTCTCAAACAAAACAGATGCACTATAAATTCTTATTTCGTCTTTTCTATCTCACTTCTCCCAACATCCAATTAAATAAATATGTTTCATTAAGAAAATGATATTCTATAAGTTCTTGCTAATATATCGTATAACCTGATTTATTGTAATCTTATGTATACCATAATAAATTAATCTTTGAGAATTGATGATTATCTAAAAAAAAAAAATGACGCATACATTACTAAGGTTATTTAATTCAATCACGAAATATGAGATAACGTGATTTACATATAATCAGATACGATAAATTTCATTTCGATTTAAATAAGCAGTCGAATATTTTCAATGGTTATTCAGAAAAGAACAACGAAGGAAGGAAAGCTTATGTAATATAACTAGTTGAGCATAAGTGGACGAATTTAGTCTAGTTACGTCGTTTAGATAACAGTCATTCATTTACCTAAACATTCACTCTTCCACTTTTCCGTTGCTTTTATTTTTCCCTTTGTTGTTCATATTGTGAAAATATAATTATTCATTCGAAAGCTGTACGTATATGCATAAATGTACATTTCAAATTATATTTGTCGATCAGTTTCGTGCGAATGTAAAAAGGAGCGTAACTTTTTGGCTTATGGTTCAGGCCCTTTCCTTTACTTTAAAGTCATATCCATTCTAGAATACGTAATTATGTTTTGTTAAGAAAATCAAATTTATAACTTCTTGTTAATAAACCATATAGTCTAACGCATATATAATAATAAGTCGATATTAACATTATGCATTAATGTCATAATGAAGTCGCCTTCCGGAATGAATGGTCATGAAAAAAAGGTCAAAAATATCATGTGCGTTTATTATTTTTTTATTATTCTTTTTTGGCATATCTTATAATTTCTTTTTACTTTATCTTTTATCTTATCTTCGTGTAAGAAAATCATGAACTGTGGGATTATTCGAATAATAATTAGAATCGGTAAATAACAAATCGACTTAATTAAACAGTCAGATATTTTTAGTTATAAAGAATAGTGATCAGTTAGGGGAACAAAGAGAAGTTTAGATTATTTAGAAGATTAATGAAAAAATTTGCATTGAATAATTACATTTTTTTTTTATCTGTTACGGGATAAGAACAATGATTTTCAATGGCAAGCGTTCATCGTTTAATTAATCGTAAAATTAATTGTCATGATTTGTTTTAATGAGGCGAGTGAAAGTCGATGGTGTACTTGATTAGTTTCGTTCGATAAAATCTATTTATAATAGATATAAATATACCTTATTTTACACTCATTTGTAAAGGAACAGGATGAATATGAAATAATTTATTGTGTTTAAATAGATTTATACACAAAACGATTAAAAAAAAATGAGTACATTCAACTCGCTATGTAGCGCACGGTGATGCCTAACCTATCCTTAATTTTTTTTACTTTGTTTATTTTTCGACGTTAAGCATAAAAATTTCTAATGACAATAGAAATTAAAATGGTTATTTATAATCGAAACTGTATTACAGAATAATTGTCTTTGTCAAAAATGTGGAAAGTGGAATTGAGAAAAAAAAATCCGCGAATTCTTGTATTTGTAGCTTGGAAATATATATAGTATTATATAATTCGAAAGGGAAATAATTGACTTACAATCTTTCCTCCTCATCTTGATTTATCGTTGTTTAATAATATGACGAAACATGAGAGTATGCAAATTATAATCATGATCGATAAATTACAAGTCGACTTAAGTGAGCAATCGGACATTTCGAATTGTCATTTTGAAAAATACTATGATAGATAATAAGATAAAAGAAAGCTCATGTAATATAAGCGTTGAAGAAAAGCTTATGTAAAAATTCTGAAGAGAAGTTAATCGCATTTTTTTTATACTTTTTACAATGTATACACAATTCGTAACTTATATTATCATAGAGGAATATGACTAAATTTGTATAACATATTTATTATACAATTATGATATTACTGTATGTAAATCAATATATATTTTACTTATTTGTAGAAGTATTTTCCATTTTGCATAATTCAAATTGATGTACTTTCATCGCAATTATAAACGTTTGAAGCAAACATTCTTCCCTTATGCTCATGTCACATACAGATATTGTTATCGAATGTACTCACTGTAACACCGAACTATAATGTTTAGTAGAAGTAGATAGCCTTTTCCCCTCAATCACGGAAGGTTTAAACTATCAGTGTACGCAATCCATAACCATCAAAAACTATACATTTAGAAATTAATTTTCAATGTTTCGGTTAAATTTTTGGGATTTGAGTATGGCGAATACATTTCACAAAAAAGTAATGAATATACCAGTAAAAATGATACGGAATTAGTAAGTATTTCGGCAACAAATCTCAGTAGTTACGATTTCAAAATACGTATTTGTCGAACAAACTTTGAATTATTGTCTTATTCGTCTTATCTTAATTTTCACTAAGAAAGAGAGTATCCAGTAAAAGTGATACACTGTTTCAAAAGAGATTAACAATGAAACTCATGGCTAAGCATTTGGCCACAATTTAACATTTAATAAAAATTAAATATAAAAAAATAATTATATATTATATGAAAAAGATGGTATAGTATATAAGGAAAAAGTTCTAACCCCAACATCTGTCCGAGATTTCACGAATAAAAACCGTTTAATATCGATTTATTTTCATTCAAGAAATTATTGATTCTTACATCCTTCATTCTTTTGCTTATTTTTGCTTCTTTTACGGAGATCCAAACTTTACAAGCAGTCTGGAAATCATAGCCCATGCGATGATAAATAGAACACATGCGATAAGAAGTTTCAACGTTTGATGCATCAAATAAAACCTTGAAAATTTGAAAAATCAATATTATTTGAAAGTGATTATCAATAACAGAGGGAAAATGAAGTAAAAATGCAATAAGAAAGATACCTTCGCCATTTTATACGAGCTTGTGGAAGTGTCTCAATAGGATCCTTTAAGATATATTTTCTTATACCTGTGAAGTATGTTTCAAAATAAGTATTCCAAACGAGATCCTTCATATCACAAAAGAATAATTCACGATCTTCGGGTGTCAACTTCCTCAACAATTCGTTCCATCTTTCATTCGTAAATTTTTTTTCGTTCATACAAAAATAACTAAGTAGATCTGACATTTCGTGAATTTTATTATACATTCTGAGTAACCTTGAACGAAAAGGATTATCGCCAGATGAAAGTTTCCGCTTCTTTATCGTTCTAATACGCTCCCTTCAGAAAATTAGATAAGAAAAATTTACCTTGGGTTTTTACCTCTGCAAAAAGAGAGTGTATCAATTATAAGAGCTGGTAGTAAATGTAAAAAATATACGTAGAAAAGATAGATCGGCCGATATTTTGTTACTTCAAAGATGTGGCACCAAATTGCCTTTTCAGACGGTACCAATTCTCCATATGTAAGTATCATTTCTATATATCTGCCGTAAGTTAATGGATTGCCATTTGATACGTAATTGTAAATGGGAATATCTTCGTTGAATCTAAAAAGATTCATACAGACGAATTAATTCAATATTTTCTAATATCATTATTTAATTTGATCCTAAAAATATTGTTTCGAGTATTTGTCGTTACTTTCGTTTATTTGCAATCTCCCATGCGCTAGCGATTATTCCATTGGCGGTTAAATCACCAGGTACCAAGTACATATTTATCGACCCATCGCAATAGAGAATTCGCATTAATCCCATTAGAATACTTGTTGTAATTCCTGTTGGTCCGTACACGTTGTCGATCCATCCTTGAATAGGTTCTCGA